TTGAAGCAATTTGCTATTTATGCTGATGATACATGTATTAACAATTTGGGGACGTGATAAGACTTAAAAAAAGATTGAATCGGGAGGCACGGCTAGACCTCTTATTCATAGTATCTAAGTTGCGGAGAGTTCTTTTTTCAAGAGAGACAATCATTATCAAGAGAGGTAACTCCTGTTGGTCTATACCACAACACAACTATTTACTCCAAGTTTGATAAGTCTGATAAAGTAAAAGCAGCAGCTGATATAAAAAATTACCTCCAATCAGTTGTTAACTGAGGCAAGAAATGGCTTGTAAATTTAAATGCCTGCAAAACAAATTTGCTATCTTTTAATCATCATAGAGCACTATTTTTACCTTCTATGTGTATGGGTGATGCTAATCTCCAGGCAAAAAACTTGTTGCACATCCTTAGTTTCACATTTTATACCAACATCAAGTAGAAAGATGATATTGAATCAATTGCTAGGAAAATTTATTCACTGTATCATGACAGAATTTTTCTTGCCAGAATCCATCTTGTACATTTATAAATCTACCATCTGTCCATGCATTGAATATTGCTGCCATATTTGGTCTGATGCCCATGCTAAATATCTCAAGATTCTTGACAGGAGAGTCTGTAATATTATCGGTCCTAAACTGGCATCTTGGTTTCAATCACTTTCCCACCAATATGACATGGCTTCCCTCTATCTTTTCTATAAATATTTTCATGGCAGTTGTTGCAATGAGCTCTCCCTGTTGGTACCTCAATCACAGGAATTTAAGCATACTACTAGATTGGCAATTAGGTCTCACCATTTTATTGTGGAAATAATTACATATAATCCTAAGTTCTATTCTAATATTCTTTTCTCACACTTCTCACCTATGAAACCCTTCTACTTTCCTGTCACTTACAATCTTCAAAAATTTAAATGCAACATCAATTGCTATCTTCTATATTCCTGAAGACTGTTCTTTTATTGTCTTTTTTCCATGTTAACATCTTCTCATTTTCCTTAACTCTCAATAATCCCTTGAATCTTAGTGGCATTATCCTTGTGGTGAAATAATTAAAAAACAAAAAAAAGCAGACAAAAGCTTGGCATATTTTCAATCACTCCAAGAAAACTTTCAGAAATGGAAAAACCATTGAAAATATGTTTCTGGGTGTTTGTACAGCATACATCTGATTGCCAGATCTGGTAAACATTATACAATTGGAGAAGAGCTGATCCTGCTAGCAGTAACAGAAGAGTTCAGCACACAATTCTACATGAGTCACCTAAACAAATTATTTAAGCTATTCTTATCAACAGTGATAACTCTGTTTAAAGAAGAGTGAATGAGATGACAGATAAAACATTTGACATTGTGCAATTTGTTTAGCATAACAGAATTTAGCTTACAAATAAATTTGTCTACTCTGACAGGCAATGAATCTTTGTTTCTTCCTTATGTTCATTTCATTAACGATGAAAGTACAGTTTAAGATTTTCTATTTGCAAGATGGCTACAAATAGACACAAAAGTTTTGAGAATTTCTTTTAAAGACAAAGACATGCAATATTATTGTGTCTGCACCACTGATGATTGGTCATCATTGTAGCTTTATCACGTTCTTGAAAAAAAAAAGTTCTACTTGGTGTATTTATGGTGCACTGTGTAATCCACAGGCTGCAGTTACAAAAGCCTAAGTGGTTAATTTCACCAATCACTGAGCACTGCTATCAAAGCTGTAACCACACTGTCAGGTGGGGCTTCAGAATAAAATTGATGTGTGGTTAGCTCAAGATTTAAAAATTGGACAGACAAATTCAAATTATGTTCACTTATATGCAAATGCTCTTGGGAAAGGTATGAATCCATCTCTTCCTTCCTGATATGGGTTAAGTAGCAGGGTGGAATGGATTCTCTAGCAAGGGTTTTGCAACCAGTCTAGAAGGAAAGTTCTGAATTTAAAACTGTAACAATTGTCCAAGGATCCTGACCCTCAGAAATGATAATGGGAAGGAGCAAAAAGGCAAAAGTACTGAGAATGATAAAGATTTAACATTTTTGTTGTTACACACGGGTGTTAGATGGCTATGAAAAGGAAGCTGTCTGAAATGTTTCTATTTCTTTTTTAAAAGAGTTGTTGAATTCTTATCTAAGACTCTGATTCTCTTTCCTGTACTGAACTAAGGAATGTCAAGTATGACATTTTGACTAAATCTGACAAGTAAATAAAGTTCAATGAAGTTAATTTGTAACTGCAAGGAAATGATGTTAATCTTATCAAGAACAAATCAATCCTCTCCACATTTCTTTTCAAGTTACAGTTATTCAAATTTCATATTGCCTGTCATGAATGATTCCATTTTCCAAGTTTCTGAATTGGTGAATAAAACCATACCAGACAATGACCTTTAAGCATATCATGCACACCTAGGTGAGCTGTATAGAGACATGTCTGACAGATTTCAAAATCTTTTTTTCCTTAAAATACCAAGACTGGGTTATTAATCTATTCCCAGATGTCAACAATAAAGAAAGAGGAATGGTAGCAGAAGACCTGGTTTCACTCCAAAATGATATTGTGCTGAGGTCAAAGTTTGAAAAAAAAAAAAAAAAATTTTTTTTTGGTTACAAAAAACAAAAACAAAAACCTCATTTCTGACCACTATCCTGCACTGTGGAACAAAGTCAACACACACTTTATTACCTTCCTGATATCATATTTAGTAGAGTGATGTTTCAGTGCCATCAGCCAGCTTCTCTCCAAACAAAGAAACAGACTGAAAATTATTGAACACTGGAATCTAAGACAACTTCTCAGTATCTTCCAGCCTGATGTTGAAAAGTTGATATCCCTGCACAAAATACACTCATCCCATCAAATCTGTAAATTTACCCTTTCACATTACTAAATCAGCTAAATAAATTGGTTAACTTGTTTTTTGTGTGTTTATAGTGTTATATTAGTTGTCTTGAATTTGCAGTATACCTAATACCAGGGGCCTTTGGGTGGGGGTTAGAATGTAGTCCTACATTTCTAAATATTTTAATGATTGTTAGGCAATCTCTTATTCTTTGTGTTCAATTCTGGGCTTTTATCTTTTATTTTTGAGTCATGTATAACTGTGATTGTTCTCGGTAGATACAGTGGAGCAGTCTCCCATTGCCTTCTCCTTGCTGATTTTATTGAGACACCACCTCTAGTTAGCAGGCCATTGAGCTTTTTCATTTCATACTCTCCTTGGTAGGTCTTATTTTTCATCCTACAGGCTTGCTAACCACTTCCTTCATCCTCTTAAATGAGGCTAGTAATCCGACATAAAAAACTTATTCATATCCCTGTTCAATGACTGTTACTGGAAATTTGCCTAAATGTGGCAGAAGATAAGTGAATAGCATGCATGATGGTTTGTGTTGTTGTATAGTGAAATCCACACCTAAAAGCTGAGGTTCCTTAGGATTTGTTACATACCCTTAATTTATAAAACAAAGTAATAAAGTCCAGAGTGAAAAGCTGAGTGGGAAAAAAAAAAGATCTGGTAATGGGTCAAGGGCGATACCTGATAATCCCCTCCCCCTCTGAATTTCTGGTGTAAGGAATTATCATTGTTTACATGCGAACTATTGTCCACATTTATGTTGCTGCTATCATAACATTTTGTCCATTTTACCCTCCAGCCTGCATGAGGTGTATGTTAATCCAGGTATCCTACAGGAAATTTTGAACTTAACCCTTTATTTAATCTATGGGGAGAGACTGTTCTTGTTCCTATGCACATGTCTAGGGATATCTTGGTTTGGTTTGTGGTTTGTTTTGTTTTAAAGCATATCAACCTCACTGAGTTATTTAATGCCAACAAGATTTTTATTGCTGATATTGTTTTCTCAAAAATATATTGTTGGTGATATTTTTTTCAAAAATGTATTGCTGGTAATATTTTTTTTTTTTTCAAAAATGTATTGCTGGTAATATTTTTTTTTTTTTTCAAAAATGTATTGCTGGTAATATTTTTTTTTTTTTTCAAAAATGTATTGCTGGTAATATTTTTTTTTTTTTCAAAAATGTATTGCTGGTAATATTTTTTTTTTTTTTCAAAATGTATCGCTGGTAAACATTTTTCCAAAAACGTATTGCTGGTATTAAAACCTATTTTTATACTTTGATAGTGTTTTGACCCCTTTTGGTGGGGGTTAACTATTTGCCCATAGCTGGGACCCTAAGTAGTACTATCAACTCGGGTCAGGGTAAACCTGGGAACACCAGCAATTAAGAGGTGGTTCCACGGTACTCATAACCTTCTGATCAAAGACCTTGCTGTTGGATGTAGTTTATCTTCTTACCCAGGTCGCAAGGGATATCTTGTCAAGTTCTTATTCTAGTACTACTTAATTATTGTCCACCCCATTTCCACTAAGTACACACGACTCAGCTCTGGAATTGAACTCACAATTACTATATCACCAAGTTCATGAGCCAATGCTTTAATCCACCAGTCAATTGTAATAACTAAGCAGTACTAAAATAAGAATTAGACGAGATATCTCTAGACATGGGCAGTGGTACAAGAACAATCTACCTTTTAGATTAAATAAGGGCTTCAGTTCAAAATTCCCTGGAGGTTATCCAAATCAACATACACCTGATGAAGACCAGAGGGAACCATGGCTGAAACATTCTGATAACAACAACAAACATTAAGGTAATAGTCAGCATGTAAGTGCTGATCAGTTTTATGAATTATCTCCCTTGATGAATTTCCCAGATCAATTGAATTAAGAATCTTATAGCCAGAGAAAGTCACATCTTTCTTTTTATATGAACTTTCATAAAATTCAAACCAGTAGATTTAAAATAAGAATGATTATCATAGAGTTTTATTCTCAAAACACTTAACACTGTCTATTAAATCATTTTCTACATACAAAATGCACAGGACAAGCAGTTTTTGGTTAAGCATACATTTTGAATAGTTCTGAATAATACTCTCCAAATCATTACAGACTTCATAGAATTGCCATGGTTACATGGTCATTAGAAGACAACTCTAATTCAGTCAGAGTCATTCCTTTTTCTTCTTTATCTCTTTTTGTGACTTTCCTTTCTCTTTGCTATCTTTTTCCTTTCTACCTTTTCCTCCCCTTTCCTTGCTATCTCTTTCTTCTCTTTCGTTTCTTTCTTGTTTTTTTCTTCCTCTTTCCTTGCTATCTCTTTCTCCTCTTTCCTTTCTTTGCTATTTCTTTCTCCTCTTTCCTTGCTATCTCTTTCTTCTCTTTCCTTTCTTTCTTGTTTTTTTTCTTCCTCTTTCCTTGCTATCTCTTTCTCCTCTTTCCTTTCTTTGCTATTTCTTTCTCCTCTTTCCTTGCTATCTCTTTCTTCTCTTTCCTTTCTTTCTTGTTTTTTCTTCCTCTTTCCTTGCTATCTCTTTCTCCTCTTTCCTTTCTTTGCTATTTCTTTCTCCTCTTTCCTTGCTATCTCTTTCTTCTCTTTCCTTTCTTTCTTGTTTTTTTCTTCCTCTTTCCTTGCTATCTCTTTTCCTCTTTCCTTTCTTTTGCTTTTTTTCTTCCTCTTTCCTTGCTATCTCTTTCTTCTCTTTCTTCTCTTTCTTATTTTTTTCTTCCTCTTTCCTTGCTATCTCTTTCTCCTCTTTCCTTTCTTTGCTATTTTTTTCTTCCTCTTTCCTTGCTATCTCTTTCTTCTCTTTCCCTTTCTTTCTTGTTTTTTTTTCTTCCTCTTTCCTTGCTATCTCTTTCTCCTCTTTCCTTTCTTTGCTATTTCTTTCTCCTCTTTCCTTGCTATCTCTTTTCTTCTCTTTCCTTTCTTTCTTGTTTTTTTTCTGCCTCTTTCCTTGCTATCTCTTTCTGCTCTTTCCTTTCTTTGCTATTTCTTTCTCCTCTTTCCTTGCTATCTCTTTCTTCTCTTTCCTTTCTTTCTTGTTTTTTTCTTCCTCTTTCCTTGCTATCTCTTTCTGCTCTTTCCTTTCTTTGCTATTTCTTTCTCCTCTTTCCTTGCTATCTCTTTCTTCTCTTTCCTTTCTTTTTTTTTTTTTTCCTCTTTTCCTTGCTATCTCTTTCTGCTCTTTCCTTTTTTTGCTATTTCTTTCTCCTCTTTCCTTGCTATCTCTTTCTTCTCTTTCCTTTCTTTCTTGTTTTTTTTCTTCCTCTTTCCTTGCTATCTCTTTCTGCTCTTTCCTTTCTTTCTTATTTTTTTCTCCTCTTTCCTTGCTATCTCTTTCTTCTCTTTCCTTTTTTTTCTTGTTTTTTCTGCCTCTTTCCTTGCTATCTCTTTCTTCTCTTTCCTTTCTTTGCTATTTTTTTCTCCTCTTTCCTTGCTATCTCTTTCTTCTCTTTCCTTTCTTTCTTTTTTTTTCTGCCTCTTTCCTTGCTATCTCTTTCTGCTCTTTCCTTTCTTTTGCTATTTCTTTCTCCTCTTTCCTTTTCCTTCTTCTCTTTCCTTTCTTTCTATTTCTTTCTTTCTTTCCTTGTTTTTTCTTCCTCTTTCCTTTCCTTTCTTTCTTTTTCTCCTCTTTCCTTTCTATCTCATTCTTCTCTTTCCTTTCTTTCTTGTTTTTTCTTGCCTCTTTCCTTTATCTCTTTCTCCTCTTTCCTTTTTTTTTATTTTTTTCTCCTCTTTCCTTGCTATCTCTTTCTTCTCTTTCCTTTCTTTCTTGTTTTTTCTTCCTCTTTCCTTGCTATCTCTTTTCTGCTCTTTCCTTTCTTTCTATTTCTTTCTCCTCTTTTCCTTGCTATCTCTTTCTTCTCTTTCCTTTCTTTCTTGTTTTTTTCCTCCTCTTTCCTTTCTATCTCATTCTTCTCTTTCCTTTCTTTCTTGTTTTTTTCTGCCTCTTTCCTTGCTATCTCTTTCTGCTCTTTCCTTTCTTTGCTATTTCTTTCTCCTCTTTCCTTGCTATCTCTTTCTTCTCTTTCCTTTCTTTCTTGTTTTTTTCTGCCTCTTTCCTTGCTATCTCTTTCTGCTCTTTCCTTTCTTTGCTATTTCTTTCTCCTCTTTCCTTGCTATCTCTTTCTTCTCTTTCCTTTCTTTGCTATTTCTTTCTCCTCTTTCCTTGCTATCTCATTCTTCTCTTTCCTTTCTTTCTTGTTTTTTCCCTCCTCTTTCCTGGCTATCTCTTTCTCCTCTTTCCTTTCTTTGCTATTTCTTTCTCCTCTTTCCTTGCTATCTCTTTCTTCTCTTTCCTTTCTTTGCTATTTCTTTCTCCTCTTTCCTTGCTATCTCATTCTTCTCTTTCCTTTCTTTCTTGTTTTTTTCCTCCTCTTTCCTTGCTATCTCTTTCTTCTCTTTCCTTTCTTTCTTGTCTTTTTCTTCCTCTTTCCTTGCTATCTCTTTCTCCTCTTTCCTTTCTTTGCTATTTCTTTCTCCTCTTTCCTTGCTATCTCATTCTTCTCTTTCCTTTCTTTCTTGTTTTTTCTTCCTCTTTCCTTGCTATCTCTTTCTCCTCTTTCCTTTCTTTGCTATTTCTTTCTCCTCTTTCCTTGCTATCTCTTTTTTCTCTTTCCTTTCTTTCTTGTCTTTTTCTTCCTCTTTCCTTGCTATTTCTTTCTCCTCTTTCCTTGCTATCTCTTTCTTCTCTTTCCTTTCTTTCTTGTTTTTTTCTTCCTCTTTCCTTGCTATCTCTTTCTCCTCTTTCCTTTCTTTGCTATTTCTTTCTCCTCTTTCCTTGCTATCTCTTTCTTCTCTTTCCTTTCTTTCTTGTTTTTTTCTTCCTCTTTCCTTGCTATCTCTTTCTCCTCTTTTCTTTCTTTGCTATTTCTTTCTCCTCTTTCCTTGCTATCTCATTCTTCTCTTTCCTTTCTTTCTTGTTTTTTTCTTCCTCTTTCCTTGCTATCTCTTTCTCCTCTTTCCTATTTCTTTCTCCTCTTTCCTTGCTATCTCATTCTTCTCTTTCCTTTCTTTCTTGTTTTTTTCTTCCTCTTTCCTTTCTATCTCTTTTTGCTCTTTCCTTTCTTTGCTATTTCTTTCTCCCCTTTCCTTGCTATCTCATTCTTCTCTTTCCTTTCTTTCTTGTTTTTTTCTTCCTGTTTCCTTGCTATCTCTTTCTCCTCTTTCCTTTCTTTGCTATTTCTTTCTCCTCTTTCCTTGCTATCTCTTTCTCCTCTTTCCTTTCTTTCTTGTTTTTTTCTTCCTCTTTCCTTGCTATCTCTTTCTCCTCTTTCCTTTCTTTGCTATTTCTTTCTCCTCTTTCCTTGCTATCTCTTTCTGCTCTTTCCTTTCTTTCTTGTTTTTTTCTGCCTCTTTCCTTGCTATCTCTTTCTCCTCTTTCCTTTCTTTGCTATTTCTTTCTCCTCTTTCCTTGCTATCTCTTTCTCCTCTTTCCTTTCTTTCTTGTTTTTTTCTTCCTCTTTCCTTGCTATCTCTTCCTCCTCTTTCCTTTCTTTGCTATTTCTTTCTCCTCTTTCCTTGCTATCTCTTTCTCCTCTTTCTTGTCTTTTTCCTCCTCTTTCCTTTCTTTCCTATCTTTTTCTTCCTCTTTCCTATTTGTACTTTCTTTTTCCTCCTCTTTCCTCTGTTTTACTTTTTTTCCCTTTCTTAGTAAATTCTTCCTTATTTTTTCTCTTCCGAGAAAGAAAAAAAACCCATAAAAACAAATACAAGTTCATATTTTTACATCTCAACAGAGAGTAATTAACAGGAAGCTAATCAGTTGCCTAATTGGGTGGAATTAATCAATAACAAGAAGTCTCATCAATAATCAATATCATATGTAAGAAGCTATGAAAAGCAGTTATTGCCTACAACCTCTTTGCCAGGAAAATAAAACTGATGAAAAAAAAGAACAAGAATATTGCATAATGAATCTGCTGCAAATGAAAATAAAGACTGAAGCCTTTGCTCAGTTCAAGTCTGGACTTCTCAGTTTCCTATTTAAAAATTTTCAAAATCAATAAAAAAAAGAAAAGAAAAAAAAAAGCAGTAAATTCACTCTACTTTTTAAGGCCAATGATATTTTTCCTTTAATGTTTCTTCAAATCAGCATCTTCTATTATTCCAGTTTATATCTATGACCATTATACTTTTTTTTATATAAATGAATAAATTACATCAAATGTCACATTTTTTGGTATGTTTTGCATCAGTGATTGTGTTGACAAAGAGATATTTTTAAATAAATTTTTTAAAATCTAGCGTTATTTCTTATTAATATGAGGGTGGGCTGAAAAGGTCATAGGCTGACTATGAAGGAGTGATGCTACAGCTGTGATATCTTGCATGCTTTAATTCCAATTCTTCTTATTAATATCTGTAATGTTTCTTTCCAGGTAAACTGATATCTGACTGGTCAAAGAAGACTTCAAATGTAACTTGTAGCAGCTTTTCTTGAAAATAGACAAAATTTGGTATCTTGGTGTAATCAAATACCTGCAGAAAAAGGGTTTAGGCCCCAAGGACATTCATGCTGAAATGGTTGCTACATTAGAGAATGATGCCCCAGCTTTATCAACAGTGCAAAAGTGGGCAGCTGAATTTAGGAGGGGAAGGGAGAACCCTGCAACTGCCCCCACAATGGAAAAAATTGATCATGTTCACCACATGGTGATGGATGATAGGCAATTGAATATAAATTAAATAGCCAATGCTATTAGCATATCTCGTTAGAGAGTTGAGAATATTCTGCACAATGAACTTGGCATGATGAAGGTTTCTGCCTGGTGGGTGCCATGTCTTCTGCTGCCTGATCACATCATAGGAAAATCTAATATTCTTTAAAGCAGATTCTGCTTGAACATTTCCTAACCCAGAATGAGTATTGAGTTCACCACTTTGAGCCACAGACAAAGAGACAATCCATGCAGTGGAAACACCCCCACCTCACCTGCTCCAAAGAGGACCAAGATCATTTCATCTGAAAGGAAGGTGATGACCTGTTTTGGGAATGCAGAAGTCATTGTATTTATTGACAAACTTCAAAAGGGACAAACCATCAATGGAGAGTACTATGCCAACTTGCTGAGGCAGTTAGGAAAGGCTATCAAGACCAAACATCCAGGAGTTGTGTTACATCAGGACAATACTCTAGCACAAAAGTCCTTGGTTTCAATGGTTGCTGTGTGTGACTGTGACTTTGAACTGATTGATCACTCTCCCTATTCTCCTGATTTAGATGATAGCCCCATCTGATTATCATCTGTTCCTCAACATGAAAAACACTTGGCTGTGAATCAGTATCACATTGATAAAGACATTATATCTGCTGTTAATATTTTTTTTTTTAGCAATAGAATGAAATCTTTACCAATGGAATCCAAGCACTGCAACACAAATGGAAGAAGTGTGTGGGCTGCAAGTGGTAGGGACTATATTAAAAAAATAAACCTCATCTGGTCACATTCCATGAAAGTATTTTGGTCAGCCTATGAACTTTTCAACCAACCCTCATAAATGTAATATATTTTATGTAATATATTTAATGGTGTTAACTAATCTATCATATTTTTCTGTTTGATATGGCTTTATTATAATTCTATATATTATTAAACTATAAAAAATAAAAAATATTGTCTTACATTAAAAATGAAGAGAGAAACAGATATTGCCGACATATGAAATACCTTTTGTTAAACAATTGTTATCAACATCTGCCTACTTTGTATTTTATTATCTATTGTGCTAACTGAATGTATTTATAATCTTTGCTGTTTCAAATAAGAGAGTTTTTCAACTGAGTAAAACTGAAGGAAGGAGACTTGTTTCATTAGGGCAATGATCCAGCATACAAGTCCTTGACTTCAATGGTTGCAGTATGTGACTGTGGACTTGAACTGGTTAATCCCTCTCCCTATTCTCCTGATTTGCCTACCATCTAACTATCATCTGTTTTCTAACATGAAAAAAACACTTGGCTGGGAACCAGTATCACAGTGATAATGACATTATATCTGCTGTTGATGGGGTTTTTTTACCAATAGAATGAAATCTTCTTTACCAATGGGATCCAAGCAACCATGGGAGAAGTGTTTGTACTACAAGGGGGCGGGGTTATGTTGAAAAATAAACTACATTTGTTCATATTCCATGAGAGCATCTTGGTCAGCCTATGAACTTTTCAGCCGACCCTTATATAAACATTATTTTTTTGTTGGTACATGTATTTCATTTGACACCCCTCTTATTTTAAACAGTAGAATTAATATCAACAAGCATAGAGATCAAGGAAGGAATCAAAACATTATACCCTTTCTCCATTAGGAGAAATCATTTCTGTAGCTGAAATGTGTCTTGCCATGGATCATCATCATAATCATAATAAAGCAAGGCCCAATTACCTACTTAAAGAATGCACACCTCTTTTGGGGATTCTTTGAAGTCTATATCTGCCATCTTTATTTTCATCCCCCAAATCTAAATAATTAAGTGAATCTTGTTGTGTACTGGACATCATGTAGCCAATCAATACATAAAAAACTTAAATCACATCCTTGGTTTACTTTATTTAGTTTAATAGCATATCAACCTCTGAGGGTTATTTAATGCTGACGATTTTTCTGATAGGTTTATATGAATAAAGTATGTATTCTTTGTAAGGAATCATTTTGTAGATCAGATTTCATTGACATAAAGAGGGATTTTGTCAAGAGTCCAATGTATTGCTGGTAATATTTTTTCTTCAAAAAAATGTATTGCTGATAATAATTTTTTCCTTCAAAAATAGGTTTCAAAACAATGTAGGTAAGCAGATTTGGTAAAGAGGTTTTTTTTTCTTTATATTTTTCTGTAGACCCCTATTTCTTTAATGAAATTTATGACGTTACTTGGATTGATATTTTCAAAATAGATACTTTAAGTTATCTGATTTGTAGAGTTTTGATTCGGGTTTGCTGGAAGTTATAGCAATTTAGTAGAATGAAATCAGATTCTTGGTCTGTTTTCATCAGTCATAATTTTAGCAGAAAACGAAATATTAAATTATATTGTTATAAACTGGACATAATACATCCATTTGGCCAGAACCTTGTGGACTGGTGTTATAGAATCACAAACAAAGAACTATACCAAATAACAGAAATCACATCAGTTGAGGACTTTTAACAGCAGCAACAATTAAGATGAATAGCACATATAACTGTTTGATAAATGAATACCAAATGTTTCCACATAAGGAAACAGCTAATATTATCATTAGAGATAAAGAGAATTGCACTTTGATCCCAGCTTGATGGCCAAGAAGTGAAGAAAAGCATAAGTTGAGATGATTCTCAGTCAATGAATGCTGAATGTTTCTGCAATAAAGAAACAGCTAATATTACCATAACCGTATCATTTGGTTTGTTTTCATTAATGATCATGTTAATGCAAAGTGTTATTATAAAATGGAGTCCTTTTGTAAACTGAAGATGATGTATTCATTAAGCCACTGTTCTATTGTTTGAATACAAGATTAGATTAGTGGGATTTTTTTAAGAGGATTTTTAGGTTTGCAAATGAATTTAGTCATTCATATTTCTTTTTGGTGTTTTTCAGAAAAAATACTCATGAATTAAAATCATTTAAAAAAATAAAAAAATAAATTCAACATTTTCCTCATATTTTTATTATATCTTAACAATAGCGTCATCACTTAAACTGATATAATGGCAGTGTCTGTCACAAAAATATCTCAAGTCTTTTATGACTTAATATCTCACCATTCTTCCTTATTAGCCTAACTTCTTTATTTTTATTCATTTTGATTATTAATTTTATATTTAAGACTTATTTAATGGCATTATTCTGTGTAACCACAGAAATATATCAGAGGAATCATCTTAGCTGTTAACACGGAATTTCTGCAGTATCAATTGGGTTTCTTTTTCTGAAGAGAAGGCAATGATAAACCACTCCACCATCTTTCCCAAGAATGCATGGCTATTTACAGATAATAAAGGAATCTGTAGAGAGTCATGAGTGCTTACATCTTAAAGAGACAGGATTAAGAAAGAAAAAAAAGATATTACATTAAAATCTTATTAGAGTTACAAAATTTTATTAAAGCAATAAATATGAACATAATTAGAAGCATAATCAATGAATTCAAAAAGTTGTCCTGCCTATCTTTAAAACTACAGTGTAACCCGGATATAAGAGAGATTTTCTCTGGTCCCAAATTAGAGCCTGTGTTAATGTATATAAAATAGACCAAACTCGGATATAAGAGAAACCCGGATATAAGAGACTTCTTCTCCAGTCCTGACAACTCTCTTATATCCGGGTTACACTGTACTTCTATAAAATATAAATTTAAATGCCAGTGTGAAGCATGTTTTGTTTTGTGCTGATTGCATTTGAACTATCATTTAGAAGTCCTTGAATGTATTTTAATTAAATCAAAACAAGCTTCTTTGAGCAATCAGAGTGATTATGATTTGTTTTAAAAAAAAAAAAATGTACCTGTCTCAAGATATTAGTGATATGCATGTATTTCTTTCTGGTTTCCTTTTTAGTTTGTGTGCACAATAATTGTACTTTCTTTGATTGAACTCGTACAAGTGAGAAGTGATTACCAGCTATTTTATTCCATTTTTTTTATTTTGTTTTTGCTCTTATGTTTGTAGTACCAACTACCATTTTTGCCTTTTTTGTCTGTTTTTATTGCTTTAATATTTATACTTATTAAAATTAATTATTACCATTTTATTTATTTAATATTA